AATTTCAGCGATTCCATTAAACAAAAATCTACTCGAATCTGTCTTGGAATTATATGTATATGATAGTAGAAACTTAACTAATAAAATATTATTACCCGATTTTGGTTATCACATTAGGAAATTATTAGAACAGGGCCTAGATTAAACTTAGTATATTTCAGAAAGTTTGATGATTTATATTCATATCAATAGTTTATTATGATATAGTTTATTTCCAATATGCAAGACTTTTGATACTTTATGTTATATGGGTAGGTATCAGTCAACTGCTGAAAGGCCAGTGACTCGGAATAAAACTATTATATCAGATCATTTTTATTACACCTTAGATTTAACACAGTTGAAATACGTATAGGCCTGCATTACTATCTGTTCCATTTACGAGAACAATCAGTATGTCTTCAAAATATTTACAGCAACATGGTTTTTAGCTGTCATAAATCATAAATCTGTTATCGTTGTTTAAATTGGTATGCTTTTTATTCCTAACCACTCATGCTACAAAACTAAATAACCATATTTATGTTATCGATGGTTTTGTGTATTTCTCAACCGTAACATTTGCATTTTATAATAAAAAATTCTAAATTCTAGGAATATCTCTTCAATTGACGTTAGGAGTTTTCTTACACTTTCATTCTAAAGGGAAATATCAAATCAAATAAATATCGGTGTAAACATAGGGAAAATGCCTAAGGTAAATTTCTCAAACTGAATCTGGAAATTCCCGCAAGAGTTTTTAATTTACTCTATTTTCTTTTACTGTTAACGATATGATAGAGTTACATCTACATCTACACCCCCCCTTTATAGACATCTGCCTGTATAATAATGTAAACCTTCTCGTCCATAACTGACCTTTCCTTGTACTATATCACCAACGTCTGAGACTTGGGTTGAAAACGAAGCCCAAACCATATTTTGGTACTTGATCCCAAAGAAATATTTTTCAACGAACAAAATGTAATAAATGGCAAAACTAGATACAACTGTATTCTAGAGTTTTAAATTCCTCGTCATCTGTTTGATGTCATGTAAGTTTTTATTCAAGATAATCACGTCGTAATCGTAAATTTACAGGATTATAACCTGTCTTCAGTACGTAATTGTGATTACCACCGTCTCATCGTGAGTCAGCAATATATCAAGATCAGCTGGTGACTAGGCTTTTCTACTTTTGCACATTTTCTTGGTGTCATTCTCGAAGAATTTGCAAAGGTAGTATATTTTTTATTTATATTTCTGTTCTATTATTCTTGATTGTTTCACTTGAATTAATTAACATATGCAAGCAATTTTTATTTTTCAGTTAAATCATATAATAATAGTTTACGCAACGATAGCATAAGGATAGTCTTTATGATAAGAGTAGAAAATTTAAAGTACGAGCCTTCGCGAGTTCCTTTAAAACTTCTACGAGTGTCATAAAGGCTAATTATTACGTGAGTTGCGTACACTATTTTAACCTACGGCCGTTTTTTAGTTGCTAACAATCACTATCTAAAGAGAGTTTATGTTTTCGTTTATAACTTCTCATTGCCACTGTTTGTGATGCAACGACTTGTCCCAACGACTCATTGTTTATTCAATTAAATTGGTCTTAACAGTTGATAGTTGATACGTTGACGTTCGCAGTATTACAATTTTACTTCCTTTCTCTCAATTCTTGAAACTCATTGGTCTAAACATGTTCTGTGAAGTAACAAAAAATACTGTAAAGTAAGCAAACATTACTGTAAAGTATATATTTCAATTCTAAGAACCGAATTGAAAATGCTAGTTAAAAAAAACGATCGTAGGTAAACATTATTAAAGGTTTTAATAAAGTAAATGTCTGTTTGATTATACGAAATTTTTCCATAAATTAATCAAAATAGGAAGTAAATGTCAAAATGTTACATTTTTAATAGTTATCTAAATACAATTGTCATATATGGATCATTATTTATGATTTTTAATGACCAAATGACCCTTCTTAATGATTTAATGCAAGTTCAATTCGTGAGTGACTTTGCTAAGCATCAAGTGAATAACGTGTTTTTACAGGAACAACAGTATAACAGGTTACAAGGGGGTGTAGTAAAGGTAAGCTAACTTGTATATTAGTTAAAGCATTCTGTGTAATGTAAACAGTATTAAGTAGAAAAAACTGTCTAAATACTAAAGTTTGCTTATTTTATATTCACAGACAATATACTTTTCCTCGTGCTTTATTTTCCAAGTCTCCATGTCTTACCTTATAATTTTAATACTTAGATGACCTATATCCGTTACGTAATTCTACTAACTCATTGTTTTTATCCTGAAAGTATCTACGTGAAAATATTGTTATTTTAGCATCAAATGTAATTGTGGAAAGTTATTGTTAATATGGTGCATCCAATAAAATCAATAGTCTTATTATTACCGTATTTGAATGCATCATTCAGTGGTAAGTAAAAGCACTAGTCCTACGGTTAATCTGAGATTGGTGTTCTTCAAAGACAGACTTTTCTGACTTTGATTAACGCAACAGATAACTGATTACCTCCACCACTTGTTTATTTCCTATTGCTTATCTTCAGCCTTGAGAGCCGGGTATCAATTTGTGGTAATCATTTCTACCTATACAATCAGTCTAGGCTTTGTGAAAACCGGTGGCAGTTCAAACGAGCTTCCAGAATTTCCATTGTGGGTTTTCAATATTTTCATTTCACCTTATTTGTCATTTCCCCTAATTCGGGATTTCAGTTTCAAATTAATTTAAAATTTTATATGTTTGACTACCGTAAAATGTTTTTGACATAATTTTGCCATGATCGTTCTTAAACATTTGGTTTTTCATCAGCCATTTGTGCTTTAGAATCTAATCGCGCTCCTACCTCAAAGGTTTTTCAGCCTTGGCTCCATGTTACTTTGTGAGTACTTGTGTGAATAATTTTGCTGTCGGGTCTTATACAATTCACAAACAGTAACTACTTATATTCGAGTTTGAAGAAATAAGTTATATCACTGATTTTAGATACGGAATTAAGCACTCCCATCCACATGAACTGGCTGTTTTCAGTGATTTTTTTTTCAAATAAAACATATAGTTAAATAAACCACTAACACAGAGTGCTATATAGTTCAACTGATACTTTCTACTCAGTTTTTGATACTACAGTATAAGTACTTGATGTTACCTGACAGAGATGGTTTACAATAATTATTTATCCTTTCTAAAGGCCCACGTGGGTAAAAAAAAATCACATACAAGGTAAAAATAGCTGCCAACATAAAAAACCAAGAAAATTCTTTTAAAAATACGTTTTTCAGGCTTTATTTAAAACCTTTTCAGATAGAATCAAATTTTAAATGTAGAAAATATTTGGTTTTAAAGGCCATTTTAATGATTTACTACAGAACCTATTTTGATATTTAAGTTTATTCCCTTGTAGGCCCTCGCAATTCCCAAAATGACCTGTGTTTGTTTCAATTAGTAAACTTTAATGTAGTGGTACATTTGAAGTATTTAAGAAAATGGCATATTTTCATTAATCTGGGATAAGAAATGTGTACCCTTACATTAAAGCATGAGGTTGAAATAAAACTAACTGTAAGACCATGAATTTTAGACTTTTTAAACACCCTGTAAATAAGCATAGAAATAAATTTAAATTTGTTTCATCAAAACACTCAGTGAACAAATACCTTTAACATGGGGTATCACTTAACCAACCTTTGCATTCGAATATTTTCACAAAAACTACCCTCGCCCCTAAAAAACTGCCCTTTTGGTGCGTTGAGGAGATTTAAAAAAATCCCCAAATTCTACGAGGTAAAAATAGGGGGTGTTAAGGTGTTACGAACGATCTATCTCGATTGGTTTGGCCACTATACATCGTTTGTGAGGGGTCTGCCTCAATTAGTTTTAGGCGAAAATAAGTAATAATTAACATCATCACACTTTGTCGATGACTCAATTCAACTCAACTATACGTTCATTTCAATTCTGAAATTCCGAACTCTAACCTGCTAGTATAGCTAAATCAATAGTCAAAGATAAATACCTACATTACCGGAATATATTACATAACCACATAAACACACTTGTGAATTCACAAACACGACTTCTATAGCAGAAAATATATCACCGGTATCAGCTGTTCTTACTTGGACAGCTGGTAATCTATGATGATGGGAATGCATTGTTGATGGAAAAACCACATGGTAGACGTCATTGGAGACAGTCCGACATCCTCAGAATCAATCAGCACATTGATGTGTTCGGTGCAGTAAATAAGATAAGATAGGTAAGAATTTGACAGGTAGAAAATTTATTATGGTATAATGTAAGTTCTTAAATGCATGTAAGCTGTTTTAGGTCTCACTGTTACCCAATTTTGCTATAATTATTTCATGTTCGTTCACATCGTATTTTAAGCTGAATAAGAACGCTAAACGAGCAAATATAGGAGTGTGATTATTTATGTAAAATCAGCTGTTTAAGCATATAAGATCAGCTGTTTCTGTAATCAGGACCATTTATTAATGATTGACAGCTGGACCCGATTGAAACTTTTCTATTACTGTAGCCTGATTGAGTTAGGTTAATCATTCTTCACAGTGCACATCTAAAAGCAATCATTTATTTTATTGTAAATTCATAGTTTTTTTTTCACCGAACAACTGTCTCAAACAAACATAATCTATACAAATAAAAGACAATAGCATTACTTGTTTTACCTTGGAATCGTGCAATATTAAAATACGAAATCTCCTCACGGGTTAGCTTCTCATACTTACAATAGGCTATAATAATAAAAAAACAACAACAAATGTAACAACATATGTAAACGTTTGAAATACTCCAGCTATTTCATATTGTAAAGTGTGTAAGTGTGAAGGCTGATAGGGCCTTCACCCAAAGACGAATATTTTACAGTGTATTTCATATTTTAGTGTCTATTAAGATTGATTAAACTATTGTTGGCAGTGTATATCTCAAGTAGGGTATAACACAAATTTGGAATTCCCATGTTTAATCAGTTTTAATGCGTGATTTAAAGCATACATCTACAACCATTCTCATACCACCAGTACAAGTGTGGGGAAGACTTCCTTCAGAACACCTGTTACACCATAGCTACTGGATACATCCATACACGAAACGGCAGGATGGAAACAGCTTTTCTCTGGCTGTGGCCCCTCCCAGCATGCTTCACTCTCTTACTATGTCCTGGAAAGTTTCACACATCGTACAGATACATAAAGTATATAATACCATGTATAATTTAACTAGGTGTACAATGCAGTTGTCTGATATTGAGCGGAGCTAGCATATTAATCCAATACTTTTCCAAAGTCAATGGTACGTCTGTTTCTCGTAAATGAGATCTCTAATTGCAGTATATTAAGTCAAGGGAACATCTGGTTCGCATAAATTAAAAATCTTCATGCGGATCGCCTCCTCAGCCGTTCAGGAGGAGTATTTGTAAAACAAAAGCAGGAGTTTAGTATGCGATTTTTTCTCATTCCGCTCAATTAATGCCTCAAGAATTATTTGTTGATTTATGTGTTGCATATTTTTATCATATTTCATTTTTATCTTTAACACACAAAAAGCACGAAGTTCAGTAGCTTACAGGATAATATTCCTTACCTCCACAGCAAGCGTTGCCGGCTTCACCACAGCTACCTAAACAAAAATTATTTTGATTTAAGGTTTATCGATAGTTTATGGAAAATAAACTGTAAATGGCCTTTTCCATTCTACTCAGCGAACACATCATAGACATTTATGTTCTGTGTGTTTATATTCTACTGCACATGTAATGATTTTACTTTCAAAAATCTCGAGTCACCTAACATATAAATAAGAGGTTAATTTACCTTAATTTTGATATGAGTGAACATTAATTATCTATCTAGACTATTCTCAAAATCCACTTGGCAACATTTTGATTGTAAATTATAATGCAAACACTATAACCACACAGCAACCCTGCCAGTGAATTATTATGAAAATTTTCTGATTATTTTTATTTTAAAACCATAGCCATACACGGACCAAGCTGTGTATTCACATTTTATTCATACTCACAGCAGTAACTAGGCCACAAAAGGAGCGGATTTCTTTGGTCTAAGTTTGTCACGCCAATGTTTGTGATTTTATAATCTAAATTATATAGAGTTATAAATAAGTTTACCAGCTCGATACTCACTTGAGGGATCACAAAACTTGGTGACTTTTAGGCTGTGTGTTATCCCTTCTTCTTCCAAACCAGAGACTAATGCGCACTTGTATTTTCCACTGTCACTTTCTTGAACATTATCGATCTCCAAATTTCCGTCGATCTCAAAATTTCCGTTTTTCAGTTTAAACCTTGTATCGGTTACATTGCTTACATCTCTATAGAACAATGTCCTGCCATCCTTGCTCCACTTACGTGCGAAACCTCCTGTCAAAAAAGGCACATGACTTCAGTTTTAAGTGAAAACAGTTGGTTATTTTGAAATGTAAATGTAAATTTGGACCTTGTATAGTTTCATATAGCACCTTCAAATCCAGTTTCAGCTGGACCATACAATGTCTACTGTTCACTGATTTAAATTTTCCTTGTAGCATTTTGTTGCCATTTGTATCGTTAGAAAACACACACGCGAGCACTCCTAAGTTTTACAGACTTGTAATCAGTCTACAATCAGAAACCAGTCCAACCAGTCAATCAGTATTTTATTTGGTATCCCAATTTCATTCGAAAACCCAAGATCGGTTATTTTGGGGGCAACTCAAAAATTTTAAATGCAAAGCCCCATCAAGTTACACCTCATTCTAAAGACCATTAGTTTAAAAGAATATCGGTGAAAACTAGAGGTATCTTTTTAGTTTATATCACAATTTCCCCTGGGAACCCAAAATGAAGCATGTTGGGGAGCTCAAAAATGTTAAATATAATGGCTTAAAACTAACTGCCGCAATTTTGTACTGGGTTGAGAAGGATAACTCTGGTGTCTGCAGATATTCTTTTTAACTGATGGCCTTCAAAATGAGGTGTTACTTGATGGAGCTTTATATTTTAAAATTTTGAGCTGCCCCCAAAATACCTCCATTTTGGGGTCACGGGAAAAATTTTAATGCCGACCAAAAATGTGTTTTTAGTTTCTTGTTAAGGTACAAGAACTTGCTATGGTTTGGTTATCCTGATACAATCCATTAAGAGGTTAATAGGGGGGGGGGTCCATAATTTACGTAGTGATTTCTTGGGCAATATAAAGAGAAAATCAAGAATAATTTTTTTTTTCAAAACCGCTTCCTTAACCAGATATCTACCATTTTGTATGTTTTACATATACATTTTTATATTTGTATTGTTTCAACCGATCTTTATGAAACTTGGTATGTATGTTAAGGTACAATAGACCCATAATAGTAAAATATTTCATCTTGATTCAAATTAAAATTTATAAATGGGGACCATATGAATTTCTTACATTTAAATTACTCAAAAACGGCTAATTTTATGAACTAAAGACAAGAACACTTTTATTTAGAATTTTTACTTCCCTATCAAACGATACCAAGTGCAAAAAAATCGAATGAGAAATAACTTAAATATTATGATTTTTAGTTATAAAATTGGGCAAACCTGATTAGCTTCTGCCATATTCTACCCAATTTTACAACTAAAAATCGTAATATTTAAGCTATTTCTAATTTGATCTTTTTGAACTTGGTATCGTTTGATTGGGAATAAAAAATGCTAAATAAAAGTGCTCAAGACATTTTTTCATACAATTAGCCGTTTTTGAGTAATTTGGGTTTAAAGAATTAAAATGGCTGCCATTTTGAAAAATTAAGTTGTCTCAAGATGAGTTTTTACATGGGTCTCATTTATCTTAACATACATACCAAGTTTCATAATGATAGGTTGAAAAAATTCAAAGATAAAAATGTTTATGTAAAAAATACGGAAAGTAAATAAAAGAAATGTCTTATAACACTTAAAACATATATTTACGCTTTACTGTTACTCACAAGACGGTAAATATACAAAAAAAGATGTTAAGTGATGATCGATTTCGATTGGACACTCCAATCATCTTTAGACCTAATAGGCGAATGGCAAGAATCTTGAATGGCGTCCCTACTTATACCCTATTGGCTACCGGAAGCACCGGCCAATACATTTTTATAAGTACAACTGGAATCGAAATGTACTTTTTCATTAATCAACTTATTTTTACATTTTTCCTTATAAATATACAATTCTTCCCAAGCATTCATTACATATCCTTTCTTACAATTCTTCAAAATACATAGATTATCCTCCATTTTTCCTATTGAATGGCCATTTTTGGTTGTGCGACGTTCGATCTTTCCGGTCTGTTGTTCCTCCACGCAGATATTTGGTTTTTGAAGTGTTAACGAAGTTCACAGTCTGTCCAATGTAGAAGCTATCACAATCGTTACAATTGATTTTATAGATGCCCGAAGCTTCGAATTTGTTACAATCTTCTATTTTTGGATGCAGTATTTTACTCGTGGTGTTCTGAGTCCTGTAGGCTATTGAAACTTTGGGTCCAACTTATTCACTGAAGAAATTCCATAATATGACATAATATTTTGAATCTAGTCTGATACATCTGTTAGCCCCTGACACTAATTATTCCAGGTAAGCTAACTGAAATCTATTCCTAATAAAAAAATTTAAAAAAAAAACTGTCTGAACAGCCAAATAGCTTTCCTTTAAAAATAACCTTCAATATAAATGAGTAAATCAATAACTAACAATTTATAAACCAATACCTGTACATAAAAAGCATTTTTACAGGCACACGGACCCATAGTATTCGTATGATCAATTTATTTAGTCATTTAATAAACGATAACAACCAATACAGTGAATCCAAAATTTTTTTACAGAAAACAGTTCACCCACACTGTAAATTATTTAGCACCAAATGATCGTTTACAATTCTTAAATCTACGTGTCTCTGTAAAATTTTAATTCGGTTTTATAAGTTTGGCGTAGGATAGCTCTACATAATATTTCCATTTACTTTATGACACCTGAGAGTTGTATACTAAAAAGAATGTATAACGTACTGGGGTCGCCTTCAATCTCGCAGGGTAAGGTTACAAAGCCTCCTTCATACACTTCTATACTTGTTCCAGAGCTGATGATACGAGGTCCATCATCCATATCTGTAAAAGAGAAACAAGTTATACATTTACTTCTATATACACTTGAAATAACCCCAAAAAATATATTTCCTCATTTGTGTATGATAATACGGAATACAAAACATTTGGGAAAATATTAAGAAAACATCAATAATAATCTTTTACATAATCATTCTTCGACATCGAACACAATGGCAAATCATCAACTTTGTAGTCAAACAGAAGTCATGATTCGTCCAAAATTTAAATACCACTCTATCAATCTTTAACTAATTATCTGATTTTCAAATTCATCTATATACAGGGTTTCCATAAAAAAAAGTTTCAGGACTTTGGGATGTGAATCCTCATACTAAAAGGAAGAAAAAAGTTTAAGTTTACTCACATTTAAAATGTGAGCTATCATCATACCAAATTTCAACCCAATCCGACCAGTAGTTAATGCGTGATTGAACTTCAAACAAACAAACGAACGCACAAAATTTCACATTTATAATATTAGTATGATAAGTATTAGGTATCTTATACAAGCAATGTGTGTTTGTCTGTCTGTCTGTAAAATATATCTCAAAATCCAGCGGAAGTATTTTGAGTAAATTTTAGAATTAGCGGCTTATAGCCATAAAAACGGCATTGATGACAGCTATTACCTCATCTAAAATAGAACTCATCTAAAAATTTAACATTGGCCTTATGGGTTTCTTAGTAACTATTTTGGTTGAACAAAATAACAAGGAAAAAAGGTAAACAAAGGCTTGTAACATCTGTTCATAACAAGCTATCCACAGTATACTAGCAAATTACAAAATACAGTAGCCTACAAAGAGAAAAACGTCAGTAGTTGTAACTATTGAGCAAAGGCAATGAATATTACTTGATATGGGGGGAAATATTTCTGATCAAATACTGATTATTTCACTTAGCTGTCTCCCACCAAAACTTAATCTCTTAAGTACTATCACAATTTATTGTTAGCAAACTTTAATTTAGCAGTGAAATAAATATTTTAAAATAATATATTTATTTGAAGTAAATTATAATAAACAAACATTTTCAATCAGCTGTTTTTAATTTACTAACTGTCAAAACGATCTTTATCCAAAAGATAGGCTATCACTGTATTCACGAGTAATTTTAGCATTGATTTTAAGTAATACAATTAAACATAGTATATTGTTATAAAATAGATCATGACGTGTTGAGTGTTTTGTGTTGGTGACGTTTGTAATCAATATTTTACTATACGGTGAAGAGTATATTTTGCTATTTGTATACACTTTTTTAAGATTACATAATATGGACAGCTGTATTCAGTTGACTTAGTATTATAGCATTGACTATTGGATAACTGAAAATCTTGATAGTAAACAATAAACGCTTCAATCGGACTTATCTGTTTCAGCTATACGAGAGTATTTTACAGAGTATTTTCATGCTGAAGTTTTACTTTTACTTATAGAAAGATTTATTTTAGCAGCCTACCAAGAAATAAATCATCTCATTACATACATAGATAATCGAATTTTTCATGATTCTTTCTAAACAAATTTCATTAAAATTTGTCACAAAAGCCTTTAGCTTATTGGTGGTTTCGATTAAATAAACCCTCTGGTTTGAGCAAACACTACTTTTAGAGTACGTTAATGATACTGAAGTATGATTGTACATACACTAGCTGTTAGATTTGTTTTGTTTTAGTTTGTTTAGTTTTCTTCTAGTTAACCTTTAGATTCTACCATGGATTTTTAAATTGCATCAACAGAAGTGACAGTACGTTTTTCATATAACATTGGATATTATTAAAACCTTTGAATTCTGATCCAATTATTTATTTATTAGTTCAGTATTGTATATTAAAAAAAAATAGATGTTGCAGACAAATGTTGTGTAGATAATTATGTGACACAAGAACCATAGAGTTTGGAAGGAACCTTATGTACCAACCAACGATATAAACAACTTATTTTGGTAGTTCTTTACATCATTGGTTCCAACTGGGGAAAAAACAGATATATTTTTCCTTGTAGCATTGACATTGATAAAATTAATTTACACCAAGAACAAACACTTAATCAACCAGCAGTTTGCCATGGACAAGGCGGTGAACAATCAACATATCTTCTCTTCGTTTTATTCAAGTTGCAGAACAACTAGTTTACATCATGCCATTACATTTGTAATGTCAACTAAAATAGTGAAATACCTGTATGAGTTAAATATTGCAAGCAAAAATTAATGAGCAGTTTCATACCAGCCGATGTTGGACATGTTGAGAGAAGAGCAGCCACGATGATGGTGGGGAATACGTAGAGAGCGATGGCAGCCATGGAGTACACTCAGGGATGTGCATTGTGGGGTTTTCCTCATATATTCTGTGTGGGGTACTGGGGTGTTGGTAGGGTGGTATGAGGGGTGTATTCTTGTTGCAACAATGTTATGGGCAGTGACAACATATTCAAACTTATTTTTTTATCGACTCATTAAGTAAAAAAAAAGTTTAGTGACTATATAATCTTTAAATATGGAAATAACTAGACATTTCTATCACATGTTAATGCTGTGATATAAAGAAAATGAACATAATTATTGAGCTACCAACAAATTATGTAAATTACAAATTTATGTCGAATATGCAAACTTTTTAACCTATCTAAACTGAAGTACAACTAATATAAACCTTAACTTTTTAAAGTCACGTCAAGTCATAGTTTCAAAAATTATAGGAGAAAACAAATTAAAAAGTTAGCAAAGTCTGTGAGAGGTTAATTGGATTTACTACTTGATAAAGATTCACTACAGCTGGTTTGTTTACACCATTGTTTTTTGTGAAAGAATACTCAAATTTTTTAAGGAAATCTGTTCTAAGCCCTCAATGTTTTCTGGAAATGCCAAAGATAAAACCATTTTCCCTCTCATACATGAGTCCAAACTACTAATTGAGCAACAAGTTAAAAGTATTTTTTTTTACAATCTCGAAGAATTAAAAACAAGCCAAAATATATATTGAGAAAGTAAATTAAAATCACAATGAGCAAATTAAACTTACCCTCAGAAAAATTTAACTAATTTCTGTAAAAAAGTCTCACAGTTATGTTATTAGTTATGGCTGGAGAGTTTGGCATTTTTAAGTGACTTTTTTACTTCAGAAATGTTAAATTGGTCAATTTGTTACTGATTTAGACTTCTAGAGAAGTGTAGTGTACTATCATGTAGCATTGACTGGTGGCGAGAGAATTTCATTGATGAACTGACTTTATGTAAAGAGATTTTAAAGAAACTACAAACTATAAAATGTGCCCATAAATATAGTATTAAAAATAAACGTTACAAACCAATTTACAGAAAGTTGTTAAAATATTTATTTATAATAGAGATTTTTTTATAAAAATTGAAAAATCATATTTTTACAAAAACGGCTCTAAAGATCTTAATTAAAATGTAGTCATTATTAGTTAAACAAAACGTTACAAACCTCATTCTGTAAAAATTCTGGTTCAAAATTTATGCAAATTTTTGTGATTTTACCCCAAAAATATAGTTATTTACAACGATTGCCCTTTTGAGGGGTTTTGATCATTAAACGGGAGAATGTATGTGTCTGATTGCCCATATGAGGGGTTTTGATCAGTAAACGGGAGAATGTATGTGTCTGATAGCCCTTTTGAGGGGGTTTTGATCAGTAAACGGGAGAATGTATTTGTCTGATTGCCCATTTGAGGGGGTTTGATCAGTAAACTGGAGAATGTATGTGTCTGATATGCCCATTTGAGGGGTTTTGATCAGTAAACTGGAGAATGTATGTGTCTGACTGCCCATTTGAGGGGTTTTGATCAGTAAACTGGAGAATGTATGTGTCTGATATGCCCATTTGAGGGGTTTTGATCAGTAAACGGGAGAATGTATGTGTCTGATAGCCCATTTGAGGGGGTTTGATCAGTAAACGGGAGAATGTATGTGTCTGATAGCCCATTTGAGGGGGTTTGATCAGTAAACGGGAGAATGTATGTGTCTGATTGCTGATACCGTTTATCTTATTTTGTGTTTTCACGCCATTACCATGTATAATTTAAAAAAGACAGGTTCAAACACTATTTTGTTTAACCAAAGATTGTTGATTGTAAGTATCGTTAAATTATAGGCCAATGAGTCAAACAGTGTCTTCGTCCATTATTTAACTTAATTTGCATAAAACCAGCAACTATTATACTAGTTGATTTATACGGCAATTTACAGTTTTTACAAATATATAAATTTGTATAGAAATGAACTAAATATTAATTTAAAATGTGTTGTTTGACTTCTCAGTAACATTCATTGAAATAAATTATTATTATTGTTGTAACTAATGAATTAATTACAACTGATTCGTTGATTAAAAGTATCAAGTCATATTTTAAAAACAAAATGTTTGATTCGTAACTAATCATATTTTAAGGTAAACAAACAGGTAAATTAAAGCACATTCATGTCCAACACAAAAAGTAATAATTTAAAAGTTGGCTAATTGGTAAAACTGATAAACATGGTGGATTCGTTATTATTATAAGTTATCGGATATCAAACATAAGGACTGTAGTTGTATACAATGTTTTGAATGAGGAAAATGTGTCTAATTAACACATTGTTGTTGATGGGAAATTTTTAATCAAATGAAATATTTTCCATTCAAATTTTGATTTTAAATACTATATTCTAAATACATAATCGCACCATACAGTTTTAAGGGAAATTCGAAAAAAAATTAGTACAGATTCATTATTGAGTAATGATTGTGGTTATAATAATTTTCATAATGTTTTGTTTGAAGAGGTAATATTTTCTTTGATCTTTTACAAACCTAACTGTTACACTAATATGATACAAAACTATTGGTGGCTGTGAAGCTTTACATGAACATTAGCAAATTTGATATAGTGAATAAGCTTTCACCGTAGGTCTCATAGTAAGACCTGGACCCAGGACAAATTTACTCTTTCATTTTGATGTTCCCAGATGCCAAAAACACCATCCGTTCAAATTCATATAAATATACATTTGAATTTTTTTTACAAATGTGTAAAACTTGATTTATTCGAACGAGTTTGCGCACCAGCATGATCGGACCATGGAAACAGGGTTTTATGGGGTAGAAATCGAGTTTTTCCATCTTTACCCTACAAACATCATATTTCGCAATTTCTTTCCAAACAATTTTGTAGAGCTTAAAAAACAAATAAGACGTGTTTTTGCACAGTTATTGGTCACAGACAAAATTAAATAAATTGTTAATTTAAAATGCACATGTTGTTCTAAAGGAGAATAAGTAAACTGAATTAGTTTGCTTGTTCATGGATATTATAATTTTATCAAACTTAGAAAATTTATTTATTTTAAACTAAGCTATAAATATTGGACAAAAACACACTTCATTACACTCCCTGTAGCAGCAAACCTAGGTACTCTTTAATCCTAAAATTATTTTAATAGATTTAACTGAAAATCAAATCAGGTAAATGGGAATTCGCTTAGTCTGTAGTTTTGCTGCGGTTTCTTAAATAAGACTGAACTATGTTAGTTGACTTAAACTACTTTAACTAACTGAACTTTTACTTTAACTAACGCGGAACTAAGAGTAGACAGTTAAAAATATGCTTCTGTTGAGTATGCAAAATATTTTTTCATACTAATTTATTTAATAATATGTTATGTTCAATAATATTATGCTCAAATATAGGCCTAACAATTTATAAATTTTGTCTTGCCCTGAAATATTATTACCAAGAGTCTAATGTAAAACAATTAGGAAAGAAGCATGAATTTTACATCAGTATACCGGTCATGACACGATAGCCGTTCTACTATCAAAAATTCTTCAGTACAGTTAGTAGTCATATAATCCACCTGGGTAAATAGAAAAGCAATGTTCAGCGTTGTTGTGTACCACTGTTGGCGTTTATTTTGTGAAGGCAGCAAAACAATTTAGCTCTGCTTTACATAGACTTCTCCGTGGCTGCTTCATCTTTACACAAGCAAATCTCCCCTATGTAAAATGCATTTTCAGGGTGTCCCAAAACTCCCTGGTCCCCTCACTATGGTGGAGTTGTTCCTTACGTCCAGACCAACAAATTTATACAATATACAATTTAAACTTGGCCCAGATTTAGTTATTTTCGTGGTGTTTCAGTCCAGGGAGCCGAAACTCCACATGACTGAGGCTGTTCTAGGACCATGACCTCTTCAGCTATCTGAACGAATGTGATTTTTACACTACTCTAAAACCTAAGACCCATTAGATTTTGGAAGATAAAAACGCGTGTATATGATGTACTAGCTGTTGTACCCGTGCTTTGCAACGGGAAGAGGACACAAAATAGAAACATTTTAATCTTTACATCTGTTGCATATAATAGTTTTACATCCGCCAACACTTTTAGAAAAAAAATCAGTGGTGTGGCAAAACACAAATAATAAATGTATCAAATAAAGTAAATGTGAACTGAAAGCTATGTTAAGATAAAATAAGAGTGTTTTGTATTAACATTTAATAATTAAATATTGTTACACATATACAACAGATTTTAGAAAACAAAAATCAACGACGTACAATTTAGTTATTGGTGATATTACATATTAAAAACAATGTGATGTGTAAGTTATGTTAAGTTAATGTAACACATGTTAAGCAGTTAGAATTTATTTAAAGTAGCCTCCAAATTTATACAAAACATCTATACATTGTAATTTCCATACTGTTTCCATGAAAACATATCAATAACATTGTTTTCATAACTTAGACGCTTTATGAAATCCAAAGCAAAGCCGGAGTTGGTACAACAACGGGTATAGAATCTTTTTTTTATAATCATTGACATAGTTTTAGAATAAATAATCCATGATAAAAGGTTAGATAAACCTACCTCATAGTTATGGAAAATATTATATTTAATTTCTTTGTATCAGCTGTCTGAAATTGTGAAATATGCAGTTTAGCAGTTCTTCTTGTTTACATTTAAATGTCAAAGCAAATGTAAACAAACATTGATAGTGTTCTCGCAGCCATGGGGACCAATCAATATTTACTTTTAAAATGTTCACCTCAGAACTTTTAAAGCCAAAGGGGCAAAGCCTACGGTCAGTATCGAAAGGAGAATAGTCCTGTAATGGTCCTTGGTATGGTAGCTATATTTTTGTAAAATTTAAGCCCAGTTGGTTTAGTAGTTTTTGCACCTATTAGTAACACACATACAGACAGACACCATTAGATTTTTATATAATAGTATAGATGGCAATTCTACCTGAAAAACATGAGAGCTTAAATTGATTTAAAAATACCATTTCGTCCAGAATT